TGAGAAATGAAAACACGAGAAATAGTCAGACAAAAATTTCATGAAACATTTTCCAAGCTCAGATAACAACTTTGGCCATGCTACATGCTGTCTTTGGAAAACACCGACTTCATATATATATATATATATATATATAATATATATATATTAATATAATATATATCTATATATCTATATATATCTATATCTATATTATATCTATCTATATATATATATATATATATCTATCTATCTATCTATCTATCTATCTATCTATATCTATATGTATATATATATATATATATATATATATATATATATATAATATATAAATCATGCACATCACAAATGCATACCACGACTGAGAATTGGTGCTGACCTGACCCACTTACCTGACCTTGGAGCTGACCTGGCTCACTGACCTGACACTGCCCACCCTGTACTGGGAGAGGCCGGAGACGGATGCGGTGCGCCCCGACCAGCCAAAGGCCTCGGTCCCACCGCTTACGTTCCTCAAACTGATCGTAGCTGGGTCTGCTGTAACGGTGACGGCACGATAAGATTAATGAAGGTCACAGGAGGTCAGAAAAACTCATTAAAGAGCATGGGAGCAAGGGACTGTAATCTATCGTTGGTACAGGTGAATAAATGTAACTAGAATATAGCGATAATTAACGAGATTCGGTCTGAGGCCAGAAAATGCTTCGGAGAAGCACAAAAAGGTCCCCGAATGCCAAAGGACAGGAAGTGACAATGCGGGACAAAGATGACATCTAGAACGTGTTGTGATAATAAATAGATTCACATTGCAGAAAGAAGATCCGTTGAGAGTACAAGCCACCGTCATATATATATATATATATATATATATATATATATATATATATAGGCTTCACCAGGAATACACAGATTCCTTGATTGCGCATGGCTACCTGGGTCGATTCCCGAACCACCAGCGTTAAGGTTGTAGCGTGCTTAAACATTTGGCGATCCAAAATGGATTAGAGAGCATTGCAAAGGGAAAGTTCAAACTACGCAGCATTAAAAGCGGTGACGACTGTTCCCATGAGGATATAGGAGCACGGGACACAGCATTAACTACTATTTACAACGTCCTTAGGTTAATGCTGCCAATCTTCTCAAAGGTAGGTGGGCGCTGCTTGCGCTGCCGCTCCGCTGCACAACAGCCAGTACAGTTATACATACATTATGCAACGTACATTCATACAACATACATACATGCAACGTTATACAACATTCCTAGTACAGTTATAGGCGGAGGATGGTCCACACCAAGTGCACAAAGTAAATAATAATTTTTACTGTTGTAATTCGGAAGAACTGTTTGTCCAGGCCGATGCTAGCTCGTATAGAACAGGGATGTCCCGTTGCAAAATGTTGTTTTTTTGTGATTGGACAGAAGTGAATGACAACCGTTTATATATATATATATATATATATATATATATATAAACAACGTCAACTGTATACGAATGATGAGTTCAACACACGGCTACATGCAGACACAATCATTACTTGCGCAGTGGCGGCTAAATTAGGCCTTGTCGGCCGCCGGCCGCCCATTCTACACTCACTCTTTTGCAGCAGAGGGCGGGCGTTTGTGAATGCCGCCTTGAAGCAGGGACTAAGGTCTGCCACACTGACTGGGCAGCTGCTTACAAGGTTCTGGGCTGCAGACAGCCAACGACGGGGCTCAACAGCGAGGCGACACAAGATGCTACAGCAACAGGTAATACACGGTGCCACAGCAACGGGTAGCACAAAGTGTCACAGGAAGAACGCGGTACGACGACGTGCATCGGTGGGGTAGGAGATGCAAACGAGGATGGCGAAGTGGAGCGACGGTCAGCGATAACATTCTGCAACGACATAGATTGGCTGCGTTATTGAAAGAAAGCGCGGCAGGTTTCTCCATCACATGTTCGTAGTGTGACACAAGTATCGAAGGAAATGCCTTACCGTCCTCATCCAGTACTATCTTGGTGCTGAGGCCGAGCCTGATGCATTGTTTGTCCAGGCACTCGCACAAATACCATGGCTGTTCACTAACCAATGAGCTGTACTCACTGATGAGCTCCTTGATGTTGTCTTGACCCATCAGGTGATGAGGAATTCCCGGCGGTGGCCGCCACCCGACGCTGGGCGCCCCCGGGCTTGGCGACGGCACCGGAGACGGCGGAGACGGCACCGGA